AGTTGTTGTTTGTTTAGTTAGTTATTAAGTTAGTTTGGTTTTTGTTATACTAAAAGAAGTAGTAATATTATTTACTTGTATGTACTAATATATATATATATATATATATATATATATATATAATCATAACAACATGTAATTAAGATAGTTGATTCTGGGTAGGAGTAAGACCATCAGATTTTCACAAACACGTATGTTGTATATAAATGTTTGAGGAATTGTACAATATATTATATATTATAGCCTTTATGACAGTGTTGTCTGTCTTTACCATCTGTATATTTAGTGGACTTTATTGAAATTATATTTAGTCCTTTATGAGAATATGAAGTTTATTTTGTTTTGTTTTATACTTCATGAAGAAACTTTTAATTTTGAAGGATATTTAATGTTAGTATTTTATAAGTACTGATAAATAATATATGGTTTATATTCATAGTATATAACATTTTATTTCTGAAGCTCACCTTGTGATTCTTTTCCTCACCCTTCCCCATTAGGTGAGCAAGTCTGTCAACCACTTGAAATTGTGTCTGGTTCTACTGTCAAAATAATAAATCCCAAACTGTTGTATCGATCTGGTGAGACCATGTCTCTATAATGTCCTAAAGGCCAACAATTAGAAAATGGAATCTCCATTGTAGTATGTTTATCACCCACCTGATCAGAGAGCACTCTACCTAAGTGAATCAGTGCAGAAGATGTTCCTGGTGGTTCTGTGACAACCTAATGGTTGTCCAATAAAGAATTAGTGTATAATATGGATTAATTTTTACAATGTATATTTAATTCATGTCCAACTTTGCCATCGATCTGACAAATGTTTGTTATTGAATGGAAAATTTCCCTTGTGTGTTATTATAATATCAAACTTTTCACTTTGTTAAAATGTATAATTCTTGTCTTATTCAACTGAGCATAGTTACTTTTTCTCTGTGTAATTGTGTGTAAAAATCCTCTTAGTTTTTAATGAGATATTACAATTTGTATATAAAGACATAACAGCAAAGGTATATTTCTGTTGAACTATTTTGGATTAATAAATACAAGTTTCATTTGTGTTTGTAGATGTTAGGATTTTCTTATGTATGTATGTTTGGATCCCATTCTTTATAGTAGGTGTCTGTGCGTTGTTGGCAATATATTTCAACAATAAACAAACAGCACATAGTCCACTTGTTTTACAATAATATATTAAAACAAGTTAAATGTATATACAAATGTTCGTTACACTGCTGATTATCATAGTTGTGACCAGAGCTTTAGATAATTCTCTCTCTTTTTCAACAAAGTCCACACACGCTGGTTCACTTAATTTAGAACACGCTTTATACAAATTATTCTTCCTGCTCTGTTATTACAATACACTGTGATAATTTCATATTAAAATGACCACTACATGCTCTTTATGGCTAAGCTCACAATTACACAATCTAGATATATCTATCTATATATATGTATATATATATAATTTACTAACTTCAACTATATTTTGGACAAATATTTATAGCCCGACAAAGACCTTAAAAATTGCTCAATAATATAACAATAACCAAATAGTGAACTACACAACGTATGATTCGTCAACATTTACGTAAACAAACCTGCGATAAACTGTCGCTTCTAAAAATAATTAAATTTAGAGTGTTATAACATTTGCATTCAACTTAAATGGAAACAGTCGTGTATATCTAACGGTAAGCAAACATGACTATAAGTTTCGTAAAATTGATTTTATCATAAATTCAGATTACAAAGTAAATGGTATACAGAAGGTAAAATATATAAATTTTTTATCAAATATAAAGGTTCTCTCTTTCAATGTTTTTCTTGTCCGTATGTATTCAACCATTTGAATTTGAACACCTAGCTAGCTAGACGTAATTATACTACCTTTTGCTGAACAGCTGATACAAAAATCAGTTTTTATGTATCAAAAATACTTGTACCAATGATTTAAATATCTGATTACTTGATGTTTGAGTGGATGTACTTAAGTCAACTAAAGCCAGAATAAATATATATATATATATATATATATATT